GGGACATTGGAGTAGATGCGTGGGCTGGTGGAAACAAGCCCTTATAGATGTCTTGGGGCCTGTCTGATTTAACCTATGTTAGGGTGGTTTACTTGCAATTTTAATATGCTGGCTGTAATGAAGGCAAAACCTCAACGGCAAAATTACCCGATCCATCTGAATAATATGGTCCTTGCAAGAAAAGAATTGCTGTGGAAAAACACTTGTGCTTGGAATGGAAGTAAAACATCTGGGTCACTGCTGTTGTTGAATGTTAGTGTTCAGGAAAGACCACGAGCCTGCTGCCTGCACAAAGAACCAGAAGTATGAGGAGTTGTCGCTGTCAACATGCTGCTGTTCTTCCCTGATTGGATCCCTGCCAGTTCTATATAGATTTTTTTTTTTAGTTTATATCTCTAACACTGTTGTATCATAGAGCAGGGATAGCCAAACTCTCGCCAGTTGTTTGTGGAACTGCAAGTCCCATGAGGCAGGTGCATGATGGGATTTGTGGTTTTCCCACAGCTGGCGGGCCAACATTTTCCTATGCCTGCCATAGAGGGTCTGGCACAAGTTAGATTAGGGAACACAAACAAACTGGCAGGATCTCTGAATAAAGAAACCAACCACTGATTTAATCCACAAGCATTTAAGTTTCGCTGCCACTAAAGTAACAGAAAGTACATCTGAGTTGCTTGGACTCTATTTATAGAAAGGATTTGCACAGCGAGTATTCAATGATCTCTATTGTACAGCATACAACTATTAACTTCAGAGGGTTTGTTTATTAGCATACAACATAAAGAGAGATTCCAATTAGCAGATTTGCCCATTAATATACATAATAGATAACAATTACAAACAACATTCACCCACCACACTGAAAAATCAAACAAGATTCACCTATCGGCCACCGCATTACACATACAGTGACTCCACTAAAATGATATAAAAAAAAGAGATGGACTAATGTCCACCATACTGCCACTGTTGTAAACACAGCGAATCGGTTACAAGTAGGCCCCTAGGTGTAAATCAAATCCTGGAATATTCCGGCTGTTTCATGAAATGTAAAACCTATTTGTCCATTTACATGTCAGCAGTATTACACATTGGAGTTATCTGGCATGCAGATAAACATGTAAGGTATTTGCAGTTATGCCAAGGGTCAAATCCACTTTACCGGATGTTATTCATGTCTGTGATGGTGTTAGAAATGGGAGATGAACAGACCTCTTGTTAACAAGCAGCTGACCTTTGGATATTAAGCATTCAATACATGCTTGGTGTCTCGGTCCGGAAAGCTGAGCCAGTGATAAATGCCAAGCATGCTTGGCATGTGCGAGGCTAATAGTGTCTATTAAGATTCCTGTGCAGACAGACGTGTAAGTCAAAGTGTGTGATGTTTCCACTGCCTGTAACACCACTCACCATGTGAGAGTGCTGTCCACAGCAATCACTGACATCAGTCATTTGGAAATGAGGACAATTAAATAAAATACAACTCCAGCCGGAACATTTGTTTTGGATACAATGGTACAGAGTTAGGACACACTCCCTGTCCGGTCACTGGTACATGAAGTGAATCTCCCAAAAAAAGTGATCCAGTTAGCCTAGCAGAGGTTCAAACCCATTCCCTCATTTAAAAAAAAAAAAAAAGGTTTGTCACCTTGCTTCTAACGTGAAAATCTACTATGGCATATTACCAATGTACAGTTTGCAGATGTTACCAGCAGCCAGCATGTGTGTTATGTCACAAATTAATGTGCATTGTAAGGCAGCCCATTGAAATGAAGGGGTTTCCAACATTTTTGCCACAACACAATATGGTGTTTCAACGCAATGCACTACCTTAGTACATTGGTATGCTATTCAAAACGAATGGCAATGCAATGTGTCAACACATGTAACCAGGGGCGTAACTAGAAATCACAGGGCCCAATAGCAAAATTTTGTATGGTGCCCTGTGACTTCTAGTTATGCCCACTTGAGATCCCACACAGCCCATCTGAGGGTGACCCTGCGGAGCCCACCATAGACTCTCTATGGTGGGCTCTGCAGGGTCACCCTCTGGTGGGATGGTCACACTCCTTGCCTGTCCGCCTCCTCTTTCTGCACGGTCGCTGATGGGCCCCGCCTCGTCGACAGAACACCGGGTCCAGCCTGCTACACCGCCGTTGCTGGCTCTCATTAACTCCACAGCGGCTGTAAGAAGAACACGCTGCTGCACAGATCACTGTCACTGATCTAAACAGCAGCGCATTCTTCTCACAGCCGCCAGTGAAAGCCACCAGCATTAGAGGCCATAGCGACCCAGGCGGCCCGCACGGCATCTGGCCGGGCCCCATAGCGGCCGCCTGGGTTGCTATGGCGATTGTTACGCCACTGCATGTAACATGTTATGGTGACACATGCGTTTCTACAACCCAAAGAAGAAACTAGGCCCTAAACTCCAACATTTTTTTCTCTTAACTCCCTATGTGATCACCACAACAGGAAGTAAGGGGAACCTCCAACAGGGATACAAAAAACAATTTCATAACTTTTTTGTTTTAAAAAGGTTTACAACAACCGCCATTTTTATAATACTGCCTGTATCCTGGCTGGGCAATTGCCCTTCACTGTGTGGTCACTGGAACAGGAAATAAGGGGAAATCTAACCCACAGGGATGCAAAAATCCATTAAAAAAAATAAGAGATGAGCGGTGATAGGTAAAGGTGCGTTATAAGTTATTACATCCCTGCTGAGATGAGCGGTGATAGGTAAAAGGTGCGTTATAAGTTATTATATCCCTGCTGAGATGAGCGGTGATAGATAAAGGTGCATTATAAGTTATTATATCCCTGCTGAGATGAGCGGTGATAGATAAAGGTGCGTTATAAGTTATTATATCCCTGCTGAGATGAGCGGTGATAGGTAAAGGTGCGTTCTAAGTTATTATATCCCTGCTGAGATGAGCGGTGATAGGTAAAAGGTGCGTTATAAGTTATTACATCCCTGCTGAGATGAGCGGTGATAGGTAAAAGGTGAGTTATAAGTTATTACATCCCTGCTGAGATGAGCGGTGATAGGTAAAAGGTGAGTTATACGTTACTACATCCTTCCTGAGATGAGCGGTGATGTGCCCATACACCTATCGATTTTCATTCGGAAATCGTCCACGAATGGTCTTTAGAACGATATCGATCAGTTGATGGGACACCAACGATTTGAATTACTGTACTCCTGGCTGAATTTCCCTCAGATTGGTCAGGCTGGAAAACTTTTTTCGAATTCTTTGAAAATCGATGGATTAGTACAAAGAAAATTGCAGCAAATGGAAATCCGTTCTATCGATTGATGAAATTCACTGAGTTAGTACTGCTAACGAACGATTATTGAAATCGACATTGGTCTGTGCACAATGAGCTATTTGAGTTAGAATCGAAAGAGGGTTCTTGGCAGCAATGAAAATTTCCAATCGAAAATCTATAGGTGTATGGCCAGCTTTAAGGTGCGTTCTAAGTTATTATATCCCTGCTGAGATGAGCGGTGATAGGTAAAGGTGCATTCCAAGTTATTATATCCCTGCTCAATTTTCATTCGGAAAATTCGTACCACGAATGGTCTTTAGAACGATATCGATCAGTTGATGGGACACCAACGATTTGAATCACTGTACTTCTGGCTGTACTACTTGGTCAGGCTGGAAAACTTTTTTCGAATTGTTTGAAAATCGATGGATTAGTAGCAAAAAAAATCGCAGCAAATGGAAATCCGCTCTATCGATTGATGAAATGAATATGCAATATAAGTTATATTTCTGCTGAGATGTGCGGTGAAGGGTAAGGCTCCATTTACACATATCTAAAGGTGCCCATACACAAGCCGATTATCGTACGATAATCGCGGGTGATCCCGTTATCGTACGATAATCTGCAGGTGTATGGGCAGCGTGCGGCCGTTTCTACTGTACGGTCGCACGACATTCATCTTCCGAGCACGCTTGAAAACCTGCCGAAAATCGTATGATTTTCGGCGGGTTAGTGGTGTGCTCAGGAGACGAATTCCGCACGTGCCGGTGTGCGCACATTGCCCGCTCAGCACAGCAATCATCGGAAGCCCTCGCCTCAGCAGGGAGGGCTTGTACGATCTGCCTGTCCAAGATGGGCAGGTCATACGAAATTTTAATTACCTTACAAACATCGCACAACGAAAGTCGTGCAATGTTTTTGTAAGGTGTATGGGCACCTTTAGATATGATCACAGACTCCTATGTCAGGAGCTTGCGTTTTCCTGCAGCGGAAATCCCTAATCTGCTGTTTACCAGCGGCAGCTGTCACCCATTCAAGTTAGTGCTGGGTGGCAGTCACTGCATTTGAATGCCAGCATGCCATTTGTAATCGTATGTGATACAATTACATGCGGTTAGGAATCAATCATTCTTCCGGGGATAGTGATTGCTTCCTAGCCGTATGTACTGTAATCGTATCACATGCGATAGCATGCCAGCGTTCAAATGCTGCTGCTGTCATCTGATGATTCACTTGAATGGGTGACAGTTGCCCCTTGTAAACGGCAGATTAGGGATTCTTGCTGCAGGAAACCGCAAGTTCCTGACGCGTGAATCCCTAGTTGCACCTAAAATATAGATGTGAATGGGGCATAAAGGTGCATTATAAGTTATTACATCCCTGCTTGGATGAGCGGTGAAGGGTAAATGTGCGTTATAAGTTTTCATAACTAAAATGATTAATTGAAATCTTTATATTGCACTATATTGTAGAGAGGATAAATGCTGCTTGTAGGACATATTCTTACAGCAGAGCTCAATGAATTGAAACTTGCTGATGCAGAAAAATGTGTAAGCGTTGGAAGGCCTGCACCTTGCATAGAACGAGGAATGACCTCTAGCAGGCAGACTGTCAATGATGTGGCTCCAGGATGCTGCTTATTGGCTGAGAAGGTCTCTGCCCAGGAAGTAAGACGTATCTTCTTAACTCTTCCTGTGCCACAGTAAAGCAAATGGAATTCTGAAGCACGTCAGCTGTGACCTGTTACAACAGCAGGAAGCAAATCCATGATGTTAAAGCCATTTTTTTGTTTTGTTTTCATGTCTACACACATTTTCCTAAAAGGGAAAAGAAATATAAATGACTACAGTTCTTGTTTATATGCAGCTATATTTACAAGCAAAATACAACTTGGATAGGTAATACATTTACACAATGAAAAATTGAGTTTTGTCCCGTGTGCAGCGCTCATGGGGGGGGCACAGGTTGTGGCTGAAAGCATGAGAGGTGTGGGAGAGTTTATTTGGCGGGGTCTTTTGCGGGTGTGCGGCTTCCATTATGTTTGGACCGGGGTGTCCGACAAGTGCTGCAAGAAAACAAAATTGGAGACGGAAGCGCCACTACCTAGCGCAATGACTGTGGTGGAACAAGGTTGGTATAAAAGTAATACACTCACCTGTGGCTGGGTGAGCGCTTGCTTGAATCAATCAGAGTGGAGTGGAGTGGAGTGGTGGGATCAGCTCCTCTTGCTGAGTGGTGTTGTGATGCACCCAGCAAGGAGGTGAGGTAAAATGGTGAGCAAAGGAGGAGTGAAATTCTGAAACTCACCGTTAAGTAAGTGAAGGCAGGATGTCAGCGACGAAAACATTTACACAAGTAGAAATTGAGGCTTTTACAAGAGCTGCATCCTCAGAATTACAGTTTACATCGTCACCAATAATGAAATTAGTAAATCGAATCTCAGATTATTCATATTTGTAAAGGTGAACTTGAGTCAATCATGAAAATGTTTTATTTAAACTTGATGTGACCAACCTCCTAAGTCGCTGCAAAGGAAACTTGCGTCAAGAGAAATATGGAGAGAAACGGAAGGCCCTCCTAGGCCTAGTTCACATGTGCATTAAATTCAGACCATAGAGAAGTGTTATTAAAGTCTCCCTACATCCTATTATTGCACATGTGGCATAGTTCAATGGCCAGGGCACCGTGCATTACACATGTGTGCGCAAGCATGGTGTAGTGTTGCAGCACGGTAAAAAACAGCCCTAACCCGTCGAGACATGGATTCCACTAGACCTTTGAAGGTATGCTGTGGTACCTGGAACCAAGCTGTCAGTAGCAGATCCTTTAAGCCCAGTAACTTGCGAGGTTAGGCCTTCATGGATCAGACTTGTTTTTCCAGCACGTCCCACAGATGCTCGATTAGATTAAGATCTGGAGAATTTGGAGGCGAAGTCAACACCGCAAAGTCGTTGTTGTGTTACTCAAACCATTCTTGAACCTTCTTTGCAGTGTGGCAGGGTGCATTGTCCTGCTGAAAGAGGCCACTGGTCAACAACAATGACCAGGGAGGTGGTACGTGTCAAAGTAACATCCACATGAATGGTAGGGCCCAAGGTTTCCCAGCAGAACATTGCCCAAAGCATCACACTGCCTCAGCCCGATTGCCTTCTTCACATAGTGCATTCCCCAGCCATCCACATGATGTAAAAAAAATGTGATATATCAGACAAGACCACTTCTTCCATTGCACCATGGTCCAGTTCTAATGCTCAGCTGCACTTTAGATGGTGGTGGACAGGGGTCAGCATGTGCACCCTGCCCAGTCTGCGGTTACGCAGCCCCATACACATAAAACGGTTGCACTGTGTGTTCAGACACCTTTCTATTGGAACCAGCAATAATGTTTTCAGTAATGTGAGCTACAGTAGCTCTTCAATTGGATCGGACTACAGGGGCCAGCCTTCACTCCCCACGTGCATCAATGAGCCTTGGCCGCCAATGACCCTGTCACTGGTTCACTAGTTCACTCTTTTCTTGGACCACTTTTGGTAGGTCCTGACCACTGCAGACAGGGAACATCCCACAAGAGCTGCATATTTAGAGTTGCTTTGACCCAGTCATCACAATTTGGCCCTCATCAAAGCTGTTTAAATCCTTAAGCTTGCCATTTGTTCTGCTTCCAACACATCAACTTCAGGGACAAAATGATCACTTGTTGCCTAATATGTCCCACCTACTTCCAGGTGCCATTGTAATGAGATAATCAGTGTTATTCACTTCACCTTTCAGTGGTCATAATGTTATGACTGATCGGCGTATGTCTTACATTAGCATCATGCTGGTAGTTTAGACCAGCATTTTTCAACCCTTTTTCATTCACGGCACCCTTTAAAAGTATGCAAAATCTCGAGCCACCCCAGTCTAAACTGTAGAAAAATGTAAAATCGATGTGTGGCCCTTCCAAAACCCTTGCCAGGCCCTTATCCCAGATCTCCCTTTACGTCAAAAGCCTGCCTGCACCTTGGAAATGCATGACGTTGTGCAAAAATTTCCAGGCACCCCTGAGGAAGGCAGAAGGCACCCTGGTTGAGAAAGGCTGGATCATTTAAGGTACGCATACATGTGCCGTATTGCTATGAACAACCACGGTGAAATCAAAAGCACTAGGTGTGTTTATCAGTTATCTTTGTTTTCTAGTGGTGATCCTATCCAGTATGTTATTGTTTTTTCTCAACCTCAAAAGAAAAAGAATAGCAACTAGTTCTTCAAATACATTTATCTCGGGTTTTCTCTATTTGTCTTGGTTAATGTAAGTAGAGCTTGTGCATTTTTTTCCTATGAAATGGGGATAGGATTTGGCCAAAATTTAGGCTGAGAATAAAGCTGACACATACCTGGGCAACTCATACTGAGCATATGAGGGGGAAAAAGCCCTAAGTGGGCAAAGTGATAGAATCTCTTTAAATCCATATGCTTTGGCTTCTGCAAAATGGCAGCAAATGTGGCTTACAAAGTGAGAAGTGGCTACAAGATAATGTTTATCCATTCTATGAAAAAACTAAACACGTGGAGATATTGCATATAACAGCCATTCAGATAATTGCTTTATTTTCTAACCTGGAAAAAATCCTGGAATCTGACTGGTTGCTATAGGTAATGATGTATACTAAACTTTCTTCTGGCTTTTTATTAATCATCCCATTGAAAGATGTTTTCATTGTACTCTACTGCAGCAAACCAACACAAACTGCAATTGTCAACGTCATTAAATGTCACAATGTGGGAGAGTTTGTCTAAGAAACAAGTAGCGAGCCTTACAACTGGCTGACGGAAATGCAGAACATTTTTTCCACATATATTAGGGCACTGCCCTGTTCAATGCCTTGCAATTTAGAAGTATTTGCATGAATCACTAACACTTTAAGGCGTGACCAAGTTTTTAGATGACAAGTGAAAGACAAACTAGGTGTGACTTTCAGTGAGTAAAAGAACTGACACTGACAGTTTGTGACAGAGGAGATGTAAGAAGTCAGTCTTGCTTTTTGCTGCTCTCTTGCTGAGTCTGGATTGTAGAGACCTGTTCTACAAGCACCCTCTAGCCAGGGGCAGGTTTAAACCAGATATCATGTGTGTATGTGCCGTGTCCTTCAGGACGGCTTTAAGGACACTTTGTAAGACACAATCCTGAACTCAGGGTTAGAAAAAATACTACAGACTGATTTTTTTTAGTAACTAAAGTTTTAAGACCAGAATAGATCTTCACACAGTACACACCTACTGAAATACACACAAACAAGTTCCCAACATGTATACAATACAACTATAATAGTGTAATAAAGTACTCCATGAAACCAGTGCAATTCATATCAAATTATCAAATATCCATCCGTTGCAATCCCAGTGTGACGATAGATGATGTCTTGCAACAGAAATCAGACGCATGTCACCTCCAGATATATATGGGCAGATCCACTCACCAGATATACAGTATATGACCCACTGGTGGTTGAGGTCAAAATAGTGCTTCCTGTAGTAATGCCACTGATACTGGTGAACAGGGTCGCAGCTACCATGAGGCGAGTGAGGCACTCGCTTCAGGCGCAGCTGAGAGCGGGTGAGCACAGGGCGGCTCGGCAGGGAGAAGAGGGACGGCAAAGGGTCCAGCTTCTCCTCAGATTCACGCTGCTATCCCCCCGCCTGTATGGCCAGAGGCAGCGGGGATCCGAGGAGAAATGGATCGCTACATAACCTCCTGTTCACCATCATGTTCATCCGTTGCAGCACCGTCCTCCTACTCAGCCTACACACACACTGAAGTTTGACAAGTAGGTTGCACAGCACAGACCAACAACAGAGTTTGTGGTCACTAAGGAAATCCTAATTACACATTTCTGCTGTGGTGGATCACATGCATTACCACAATGCATGTTGACCCACATACATTGCAGGCCACCATAATGCATTGTTACGCACTACCATATTTGGTGGTGTGCTGGGTCTGACAAAATGCTGCATGTAAGTTTTTTGTCCGTTATTGTGCATTGGCAGTCCATTTAAAATGGCTGGGCTACCTTAAATGTATATATATATACATACACACAAACACACACGAACACAATGTGTTAAGAATAATTGGCACGGGCTCATCCTATGGCTATTTGCATTCATCAGCTGACTTGCAGTACGGTGGGAGAAGCCTGCCTTGGAAGTTTCTCAGAGTACATTTGCAGGAATGTGGTTACCTATAAACACGTCTCCTGCTTCCAAGGACACAGTTTTATTGACACATCAGCAATCATAGCTCTGTCAGTTACCTCAGACTTACTGCAACCTTTGTGCACTGATACTATTCACCACTTGTAACGTTTCTGTTCATGATAGAAAAATTATTAAATTGCCTTTAACTATCTCACATAGACCTAAAAACAATCCTACCCTATGAAAGCAGTTTTTAACTTATCATGAAAGCTGGACACATTCCCGAGGGGGCTGACCAACATAGATTGATTTTTTTTATTTTTACTATACGGTCAATTAGATCGGCCAAATTTATTTTTGTATCAATTAATTACACACAGACACAGTTCAGCTACACATTTCAAGTGAGAAAAGAGAAGAGGCAGAAGTCACACCTGCCTCAAGAAGCTAATTAACCCCTTAAGTGACACAGCTTCAGAAAATGTTTTTGCTTATGGGAACCGGAGCAATTTTGCCATTTTTGTGATGTGTTTGTTTAACCATAATTTCCTCATGCATTACACCTACACATATTATATACCATTTTTTAAAAGGACAAAATGTGCTTTAATTTGATGTGACATACGAATAAATAAATTCTTTTTTTTTTATAAAACAAAAAAAATAAAAAAAAATGATAAAAAAACACATTTATTTGTCCTGATTTATAGGGTACATCTTACAGTATGTCTGGGATTTCAGTTTATTATGGGAGTTATAGGTCACAAAATACAAGGAGTGAAATACAATTTTAGTGTGGACCAATTTTAGAATGTGGTATGTTGTTTCCTATTTTTAATAGCCTCCTCGGCACTATATTTTCTTATTAGTTTTTTATTAAACATATTTTTTTTAAACTTTTTTCTTTTTTTACAATTTTTAAAACATTTATCCTTTTATTTACAGGGGCTTTGATACTTAGTATCTCTGAGTAGAATACAGTATTCTCCTCAGTATTCTCCTCAGATACTTTCTATCACTTTTGTAACACACAACCGGCTAGCAGTTTGCACAGCACAGTGAACTACTGCCGGCTCTGTGACTGTCGCGGCTCTGTGATCACAACGATTAGCGCTCGCTTTGATCACAGGACTGTTGAGGGTCAGCCTCGGACCCCGAGGGACTCATCAACTCATCTATGTACCGAATGGTGGAATTATCCTGTCACCGATCGCTAACAAACTGAATGATCGTGACGCGATAATTCCATCACGGGTTAAAGTGTACTGCATGCACTAACGAGGAGCTGATGCTGATAGGAGGAGAAAGAAGAGTGGCAGAGAGATGGATTCATCAGTCTGCTGATTCTCCTTTCACTGTGCAGTGAAAGGTTGGTGGCAGGGAAGAGACCTGTAAAAGAACTGCAGCAGAAAAAAAAATTAGTAGCAGACAATAAAATGTTTTATTTATTCTGAATTGAATATTTATTTAATAGCATTAAAAATAGACACTACCCTTCTGTTTTGTAACAACTGCACTAAATTCACTCATAACTTTTGGCCAGCGTGTGCATTTTTTAAGTTCCAAGGTCTTTCCCAGGCTCCCATCCCATCACAGTACACAGCTTCAGTGCTAGAGTGAAAGTAAGCATACACTACAGTTACTTCCTACACACAATGAAGGATTTTGCTGTGGTTAAGTACACTGTTAAAACTCTGAAACACTTTCTCAACCTGCTACTTGGCGAGCGTTCTGAATGGTTGGCAGAAAAATAAATGAAAAGGTGTTATACAGGGATCCCAACCTGACATAAGTAATTTCAGGGAGGTGCCCCTCTCATTTCAGGGAGGTGCCCTCTGTCCCCCCCGCTCCTCACTCCCCCATCTGCGGGTTGTGCAACAACAAGGAAGAGAGCAACCCCCTGAAATGATGGCAGATAGCAAAAAAATACAGGAGTTCTAGCACAGTACTGTGCTGGAACTCCTGTGACAGGTGAGAGAGGAAGAGCACAGCTCTCCCCTCTCACTGTCTACAGTCTACACGGAGCGGCAGGGTTACTTATAACCCTGCCGCTCTGCTCACTGCAGTCAGAGGTAAGTGCAGGGGGCAGGGGGAGAAATCGTCTGCCTCACTCTACATTCAGTCCTGCTTGTACAAAGCAGGACTGAATGTAGAGAGGGCAACTTCCCCACAAGGACACCGCTGCTGCCCCTCTGCACCCTGCCGCCGGGCCTCGGTGGCCTTGTGAGGAATCCGGGCCTGTCAATCAGCAGAGGAGGACAGGATGGAGAACTTCAGGTCCACCTCTGCTGATTGACAGCAGCAGTGGGTGGGTGCAATAGCTAGTCTGCTATTGGCTATTGCAAATTGAAATAGCCAATAGAAATCTAGCTATTCATTCCTATGCCTTTTTTTTTCTTCTGTCAGATGGCGGCCCCGATGTCAAAAAAAACAAAAAACAGATAGCAGGGAAAGGTTTACTCTGCTAGATAAAGCAGAGTAAACCTTTCCAGGAGAAAATGTTTCTCTCCCGGGTGTCCGGGAGCCGCTATCTTATAGCAGGAGACTTCCGGAACATCCGGGAGAGTTGAGATGTCTGTTATATTACAACATAAGAACCATAAGGATAAACATGACAGCAATAGCTAGTAAATCACAAAAATCATGTCTGTTTACATCTGATTTCCTATAGACCAACATGGGGTCTAGTTATTTCAGTTTTTTCCTCTATCCCATCCGTACCGCTCCAATCAGGAGGGTATCCGTGCACACATTACCGTTGAGATCCACCCATCTGCGTGAGTGACAGCTGGCTCTACTTATCTAGAGGCAGAGCCAGCTGTACCCGCCCCCTCCCCCGTCCGTTCCGCCAGTCAGCGCTGGAGGATCGGAGCGGGGAGGGAGGGAATCCCTGCAGGGAGCTGTGAGTGACAGACACAGCTCTCTGCAGGGAGATGATCGAGAAGTGAGCGAGCGACGGTATGTGTTTGCTCACTTCACGATCTATTGAGCCGGCGTGTGACAGTTTCATTGTCACACGTCGGCTCGAACTATGAGGTGAGTGAAAATCAAGATTTAAGGTTTTTAAAGCACCACTTAGAACTGAAGACAACGTAACAAGGTCACACACAAATGGCAGCGGAGCTGAAACACGCTGTTCCTTTCACACTCTGTACTAACCCTTGGACTGCCAGGCCAGCTTTTGCTAAGCATTACCATTCTGCGATCGCTTGTATCGCTGCACATTACATACATTGTACAACTACATACATTTACATACATTGTAAAACTTTAGAACAATGAGATGACCAATCATTTCGACATGCTGCAGCTTTACTAGAACTTGGCAGATCATGAAATATACTCTTTAATCATTCACTGTATTGTCACAGAAGGCAAATATTGTACATGCCCTAAGAGGCAATGACCAGTGTAATGGCCAATATTAGGTTTATTCCACACATTATTCATACCACAATATTTACATGCGGCACAAGTATAGATTGTGTAAGAAGTTGATTTGATCGTAATTATTTATTTAATGAAACCACACACGTTACTGTGTCTTTTCAGATTCAGATCAAATCTCATGAAGAAATAGTCCCATGATTTACTTATAATCCCCATTCATGTCAAAATCAGGAAGCTAGAGAAAAGGGATATCCTGATTGCTGCTATACAGGGGAGTATCACACAGGATGTACTTTTGCATTGAAAGACAAAACCTATTTTAACACTATCATGATACTAACTGTGATCCTCTGCCTCAGCCTAAAGATCTGAACCCTGCAAGCTGTGGCAAAAAATTGCAGGCAGAGGGCAAAGGAGTAGTAACCAGTACTGCCCGCAGTATCCCTGCAGCTGATCAATGATAGCAGGGCTTTGCTTCCTCATTGTCAAAGCCTCCAACAAGGAGAACAGTGAGCAGCACGAGTGATATCACCAAATCTCACTCCAGATCTCCTGAGGCTAGCAGTCAGAGGCAGCAGTGCCTTAGATCCCACACTGCAGATACACAACTCTGAGGCTGTAGGCACATCATATTACTATATTTTAATTCCCTGCAGGCCTGCCACTATCAAACCACCACATAGTCCACCACTATCAAACATTTCAATATTTTATATACTATTATTCTTTACAGGCATGATTACATATATGACAATTTTTGGTGTCTCTGTTCCTTATTTTGGCCTTTTTATTGTTCATTTAATTTCACGAAAACAAATTGAAAGTATAGAGAAGAGGAAAGGATATAAAATCATCTGCTCCAGGAGTCAAATACTCTAATTACACAACTAACAGAAAGCTGTGTTCACACAGATATAAGGGGGTTCCTGGGGCACCATACAATGTCATCTTTGAGATACAATATAAGGCCCTATTCACACTGAGCGGATTTCCACTTGAAAATCGCGCGTCTTGCCGCGCGATATCGCAAGATCTCGCTCGTCCAATGCTTTTCAATGGAGCTTTTTGAATCTCGCCTGTAGCTCATCGCTCATCGCTTGTGCAGGGCCCTTTTTTGCACTGATGTCGCGCGATTTTGCTCTTTTTGCATGCAGCTCAATAGTAAAGGTTGCGCGATTGTCGCCGGGAAAGTCGGCGCTATATCGATCGCGCGGAAATCCGCTCGAGGAAAGTGTCGCTCAGTGTGAATGGGGCCTTAGAGGTTCATGTGGATACCCTGTGGTGTGGTTGGCATGCACAGCTGCTCCAGATTTTGTCTGCTCCAGTTTTGATTAATTCCCCTCAATGAATAAAAATGAACACACTGCAGAACTGTATTTGGTACTCAGATAATCCAGTCAGAGACAGATTATGTGCTATTTTCTGAATGCCAGATGATTAGTAACCTTTTAATACTAATGCAGCTTCACCAGCTACATGGAAGCAATAGTATGCTCATTGTAAAATACTCACACCAATAGCAATAGCAAATAGGATATATGGAGTTTTAGAGCTGCACTGAGACATGCAGCCTTATTCAATAAGACAGTGCAAACAGCAAAACTAAAGCTTTGCCAATAACTCATGGCAACCAGTCAGATATCAGTTTACTTAAAGGAGAATTATGGGGTTAAGGCTTTTCCCCATAGTTCTCCTTAGGGTAACAGGAGGACACAAACTAGCGTCCTCCCGTTACCCTAAGCTCAGTATACCGCGAGCTGCAGCTCGTGGTATACTGAGACGCCGCAGCTGAAGCGGATCCCGACAATTATGTCTGGATCCACCCAGCTGCGTGAGTGACAGCTGGCTCTGCCTATCTAGAGGCAGAGCCAGCTGTACCCGCCCCGTCCGTTCCGCCAGTCAGCGCTGGCGGATCGGAGTGGGGAGGGGGGAATCCAGCCCCTCCCCTGTCACTGAGAGCTGTGACAGGATCGAGAGGTGAGCGAACGCCGGTAAGAGTTCGCTCAGCTCCCGATCTACTGAGCCGACCTGTGACAGTCTCATTGTCACAGGTCGGCTAGAACTATGAGGTGAGTGAAAAGCACTCATCTCATAGTTCTCCTTTAAGTAAGACAACTAAAAGAAGAATGTTGATTCGCCACTTGAGAGCCCATTTGCAGACAAATGCTGTGCCCCCATCCACCTATTCTTTACTGTCATGTGACATATAACTTCAGATGCCCATATCTCTGGATCTAATGGTCATTTCAGTTTGCAGTTTTCCAAGGCGTTTTTGAGCAGTAGGAAAAGCACTTTTAAACGCTCATCACAAGAAATCCCATGATTTTGAATGGCCCCTTATCAAACCTGAGCAGCAAAACGCCAGCAGGAAAATTCCAAACGTGTTTCAAGCTCATTTTTTCCAGCCCATAGACTTCAATGGAAAAGCCAGAAAACGCGTGACAGAAGTATGTTGCTCTTTTTTCATACTCTAATATAGTGAATAAGTTGCGCTTGATCTAAGTGAATGTGAATACCAGAGTAAAGAATAAATCTCTATATAAATGCCTTAATCTTCTATCTCATTGTGTAATCGATTGTGTATCACATGCCTCAATAATTTCTTGGACATTTACACACTGACGTATCGATTACACAATGAGATAGAAGATTACGGCATTTATATAGATGTTTATGTGTTGTTTATGATTTATTCTTTACTCTGGTATTCACATTCACTTAGATCAAGCGCAACTTATTCACTATATTAGATATCTTCTTCACACAAAGTTGCTGCTGGTCCTATAAACTATTTAGCACCAATTCCCAGCGCAGTGAACCTTGGAAGCACTTTTTTCATACTCGTTTGTACACACGTTTGTCCATTGACCACAGTGTTTCTTAAGCTGCCATTCAAAACGCGCATCTTCGTGTCCATGCATTTTCACGTGCGTTTAAATGTGCTAAACGTGCAAATAGCTGCACCCTGAACCTGCACCTGCCAGACAGGGCTATTCTGTGTGACAGAGATGTGTAAATCTAAGAAATGGATGGGCAGAGATAAAAACCCTTTCCCAGGTAAAACAGCTCCCAGATATCTATTTCATATGTGTATTTAGCTGGAAGTTCAGCTTTCAATGAAAAAGAAACATGAAAGTGGAGCACTGCAAGAAAGACGTCAATGCAAACACTGCTGAATCCAGGGAATAACTTCCTGTTTAAAGTGAAGACTCAATGGTCAAAGCAAAACATAAAGTAGTTTATTTTATGATGACTGAATATAGAATACTTTAATGCAGTGTAGCTCATTTGAAAAGCACCCCAAATGCATATCCCGCCCCCCAATGCGATCAACTGTGCCGCAACGCGCAGTACCGCAATGCTGTGTGGTGTGGTGCGAATGAAAAAAGTAGTGAATGCAATGCACTGTGTGCAGTGCGATTGAAAAACTTAGTGCAAGCTGTGCATTGCGGTGCAGTGTGGTTGAAAAAAATAGTGTATGCCGGGGCGTGCGTTGCGGTGCAGTGTGGTTGAAAAAGTAGTGCATCTAATGCTGTGCGTTGTGGTTCAGTGCAATTGCATGCACTACTTTCTTCAATAGCACCGCAACGCACAGCATTGTTGTACCGCACATTGTGGCATTGTCGACTGCATTAGGGCAGGAGGCGCGTTTGGGATACCATTCAAATAAATGGCACTGTAACACACCTCCCGCACTAATAGAACTCTGTAATTAACGCACAGACTCGGTGTGAGTTTCTAATTGGACCCTGGAAGCACAGAAATCCATTTTCTCAAAACACAGCTAAACTGAATGCACCTAAATGCAGGTAAACGCACAGTTTAAATTATACCATTAAGATCATTATATGCATTTACCAATGTCCTATAAATGCTTATTTCTCAATGCCAGTGTGAATGAGGCCCTACATTTAGGACACTGCTCACTAAATCGAGCTATTAAATTAGAGGTAGGCAACCGCTGCACTCCAAATGTGGTGAAACTACAAATCCCATAATGCTTCTGCTTCTAGGAGTCATGCCCATGGCTGCCACTGTCTTGCAATGCTTTATGGGACTTGTAGTTCCACAACACCTGGCGTGCTCAGGTTGCCTACCCTTGCAATTGAAACACCACCAAAAGAAAGTCTTGCTCGTCTCCCAAACAACAATATTTTTCTCACTTCTGTATCATGTAATTACAAACTTTTTGCCTGGTAGCTAAAATGTAAATATTTCACAGCCAATTGTTTTGAGAGAAAATATAACTATTTTGAAATAGAAAAATAAAACAATTGTAAACATTTTCAGTGAAAATAAACCCGAGGATTCTAATTGTATAAACAAAGTGATTTAGAAACAAACTCATGTAGGCAGTTCACTAAAATGCCGGCACTACAAGAATGGTGGAAATGACCTTAGCGTAGTGAATGTCACAAGGAAAGACTGTAGTGATCACATGACAGCAGGTCACCCTCCCCAGTGTCTCACGCTGGATTTCCATTTATGGTCAGATCTGTAATGAGGAAATGGAGTCCCTCCACCTCCTCCGGAGCCTTCCACTACAAGGCATCATAGTGTGTGATGGCTGACCTCTTGTGGACATGATAAAGATTACAAGGCCCTTGCAGATAACATCAGAACACTCTTCTGTATAAAATGGCATTGGATAGGGCTACGGCAGGGGCATTTCAGGTTCAGTGGGCCCCTCCTACACAGCAATTAAAGCACACGCCAAATCACAACATTTGTTTACTTAAAGTCATTGGAACTGACATGGTTTACATACATAAAAAGATGAAATATTATATACCTGAAGTTATATACATGAAGTAAATTCACGTTCAAACTGCTCAGAGTAGCCTGGAATCTGCACAAAGGCCTTCACCAAAGAAACTTCTAAAAAGATAAAAAATATACAAAAAAATATTTTTAGATATGCTGCATAAATAGGAACACACAGCAAATGTAATGCACACACGCAATAGGTTGGACTTGATGGACTTGTGTCTTTATTCAACCTCAAATATTATGTAACTATGTAAAACATATAGTGGGTTTTTTTCAAAAGTGGAAATACTGATGTGTGATTTTAAATGGAGTATGTCAGAAAAAATCATAGCATCTAGTAGACATGTGCATTGGGATTCGGACGAACCTGCAAATCAACGAAATTCAGTTGATTCGGCGGTTCGTCCGAATCCGAAATAACAAATGTATAGATTGTAAGCCCTCACGGGCAGGACGCTCCTTACCATCTTGACTTGAATTGTATTGTAATTGTAATGTCTTCCATATATTGTAAAGCGCTGCGCAAACTGTTGGCGCTATATAAATCCTGTATAATAATAATAATTATATTATAATATTATATGCCCGAATATACTAAAACTATATTCGGGCATACATAAATTAGATTGCAGAATTTTACACAAGGATTGCGGCGCCAGAGCATATGGGGCGCCGCCATCTTGGTGTATACCAAGACACACTCAAAGATGGCGCCACGCAAGCGCAGAATGAGCCGCCACTTCTTCTACATTTTCAGCATGACGTTTCGGATTCGGAGGCTTTCGGTGTCTCCGAAACAGCAGAAAAAAACGTTTTATTTGATGAAACGAATGGAAATGTTTTCCGTTTCGATTCGTTTTGTCAGAAAATAAATTTGTACGCCGTGCACATGTCTTGCATCTAATGCATGCATTTACATGGTTTTGGGAAGGGGTGGAAGGGAAAGGGTTTGGCATGAAAGTAGATGAAGTTAGGGTTTCCCAACAAAGAAAGAAGCCAAGGAAGAGATGTAAATTAATGGCACAGGTGGTGGCAATTGTGGGGTGGGCTTTTATAGAGGTTGGGGCACCAAGGTAAGGAGGTTAAAGGGCCATTGGAAGCTGAATGTTCCACCTATTATGGGTACTTTGAAAGTATATGTAAACCATATGAAATTAACTTTTCTTATTTGCTCCCTTTTGTCTTGTTAAATATAACAGTGGAAGCAGTTTGTTATATCTTGTTATTAAGTGCAAAAAACCTGTTGATCTTGACAGAAATGTTAGGCTATCCTGTGTCCTCTGTATACTTCATGTGTTATCTCAAAACGTCTGTTTAGCCCTCGTAGCTGTCATCTACAGAAATATCTGTTTAGCCCTCCTAGCTGTCATCTACAGAAACTTCTGTTTAGCCCTCCTAGCTGTCATCTTGGCCTAAAATTAGCCATTATGTTGTAAAGATATGAGAGTGGAAGTAGTTGACTATTTTGCAAAAGACACTGAGCAGGGTCTGACACAACACAGTTCAAAAATAGCTTGTGTGTTGTCAGTCCACAATAGTGCTTAAGAGCTGAGTGAATTTCTGGAAGTCAACAGGTATTTTTCTGTACTTGCAGGGTCTGTAAAGAGAGTCATGGAGCACAAGGAAAAGAGGGAATTGGGCGGAATGGCAACATGACAGG